CTTTCTCTCAAGGCTCTTTGTAAATATTCTCTCCTCTAAGAAACTGCCCTGAACACCCTGGAGGCCACAGCACGCGGGGCTGGAACCCTCCGTGCGGCTGTGTGCTTATTTAAGTACAAGCCTGTCCCCCGCCGGATGTAAACTCCCCAGTGACGCCGATGGCATCACCGGCGTCACCATTCTCTGGGTGTCAACAGGTGTGGGCATGCCTCACACCGCCATGCCATTTCACTCTCCCCTTAACCCTCCGAGCACTCGGGGTCTGAAAGCCGCTCCTCAGACCTGGGGGCTGCACCCGAGTCACTCGCCCGAGGCCCAGGGCCTGCAGGGACAGCTGCGGGTTGGTCACGCCATGAGGGGGCCGGTTTCTGGCAGCCCCTTGGCCTCCCTGCCTCTGCCTCCTACACTTGACCTTTTGTTTTCTGCCACGTTAACCTTCCCCAAGCTCTGCCTAAGCCCCTCTGCGGGCCTAGAATGTTCTCTCCTGTCCCCTTTTCCTGCCCAAATTTCCCCTCCACAGCTCCAGAATTTTTCCTGGGAGACTTCAAAGACACGCTGGTCTCTACTAAGCACTCCAGTCCCCCTGACCCTGTGGTGATTGGCATCCAAGACTACATTTTATTAATAGGTATTATGTGTTGAGGGCTTATTATGCACCGGACATCTTTTTATTTATTATATCATTAATCTTCTCGACAAGCTAGTGATATAGAAATTATCACCCCACCCCATTCTACAGATGAGGAGACTGAGGCCCAGGGAGGTCGAGAAGGTTTCCCCAGGCCACAGAGCTAGTGAGCAGCAGAGGCAGGACTCGAACCCTTGCTGGGCTGGCCCCACAGTGCCTGAGTTTACACAGATATGGCACTTGGCCATCTCCATCTGCTTCCCAGCCAGAGAAGCAGCCTTCGGAGAGCAGAGACCCCTTCTGTGTTTCTCTGGCGACCATCCCTACCCTCTGCATCTGGTCCACCCCGGATCCCGGGCAGGGGCCTGTGTAGACACGGCCTGCATTCCAGGTCCCAGAGAAGGAGGAGCCCTGGTAGGAGGGCCAGGGCTAGTGCCCATCCCACCGCTGCACGGCCTTGTTAATTCACCCTCTCTTCTGAAGGTGGCCGGCTCCCCGCGCCCCGTCCCTGGCCCCTCCTGACCAGGACAGAGGGCCTTTCAGCCTTGGCTGCCATCACGACCACCTTCTTGGGAGGGGCTGTTTTCCTACACTTCCGATCCTGAGAAGATGCAGCCTGCAGGCCAGTGGAGGGTCCCAAGTCTGCGTGCTGGGATGTCACTGTGAGCACAGTGAGGCCTATGTCCCCGCCCCGGGTGTCCACAGGCTGGTCCCCTAAAGACGACTAAGGTCGGACGGCACCCCTTGGCTGGCAGCACGTGTGTGTACGTGGGAAGGCATATGCCTGTGTGAGCGCGGAGGGGAAGTCGCCTTTAACTCCCCGCCTCGAACAAGGGCCTCTTTGTCTCCGCTGCTCTGACTCACTGCTCCATCAGAAGGAACGCGGTTTGATTATTTTTATAGGCTGTTTCAGCCTTCTTTCTCCGGTTCGCTCTGTCCTTCAGCAACTGTTCCAAGCCCCGATCTACCTCCTTCTGCCTAGAGAAAGACAGCAGCTGCGGGACTCTGAAGCCAGTGCCCAATGCCTGGCTCAGAGGCACTCTACCTCAGTTTCCCCACTGGGAGTCTCTAAAGCAGCAGTGGGGGAAAAGTGAAAGCCGCACTGAGCCACAGAGCCTCCCTCTTCCCTTTCCCCATGCAAACCACAGCTTTCGTATTCTCAGTGCTTTATCTGCTAACCTCTTCCATCCTCTGTACCTCAGTTTCCTCATCTGTAAAATGGGGATAATAATATCTGAGAGCTGTTATAAAGAGTAAATGAAATATAAAGCTTCTAGAATAGCATCTAGAACATAACAGCTCATTGTTAATAATTGTTATTATTAAAAAATGTTTACTGAGCCCTTTGCTGTACCTGGGGCTGGAGTTCGCAGAGGGAGCTGTGTCCCACCCTGCTCAGACAGGCGGGTTTGCCCGGAGGAGCAGAACGTCCGCCTTGTCCAGCGCGCCCTCTGGTGGCCGCTGGCGAAAGGCCTTGGGCGAGGGCGGGAGTTAACGGTGGGGGAGAGAAAAGCTTGGAGCGTGAGGGGAAGGGGGACTTCTGTCCAGCACAGAGCCCAGAGTGCTACTTATCCCCCCTCAAAATGTCTGGCTCAGAGTACTTCTCTTTTTTTGCTAGCTTGAGAACAGGGATATATTCCCCATCAGGGCACAGAGATGCTAAGACAGGACAAGCCGCCAGCCACGTCTAAGCACCTTCCCGCAACAGTTGTGAATGACAGCAGGAAGGAGAGCAGCTTCGTGCCACACGCAGGGCTTCCTGAGGGCAAAGCGGCGCTTGGGCGAGGCGGGTGGGGTGGGGGAGTTGGTTGTACAAGGTAACGATGGGAGAGGGTGCAGCTCCCTGAGAAACTGAAGTTAGACCGCTGCAAGGACTGTCCTGAGTGAGGCTGGGCACAGTCTTGTCCCTGTGGAGTCTGGTGTAGGAGAACGCCCCTGCCTTCCGACTGCAGAACAGACCATCCTCTTCTAGGGGCGAAGTGAGGGGCTGGGAGCATGGCAGCCGGCACCTCTGGGTTCTCTGGGGCTTTCCAGGGGGCTGGTGGGTCGCGGCTGGGAGGGGAAGTGGCCGCAGCTGTCAGGGGTACTCGTTTCTTATGTTGCAGAGAAAATGACACGCCGCTAGCTGTACTGTGCGGGGCCCCGCAGCCCCCCAGAGGCAGATGACGCACACAGCAGCGCTCCTTCATATAGGCTGGGCCAGGGGACCCTGAGACCCCAAGCTGAGCCCCCCTCCCGAGGTACCATGGGCGACAGGAAATCACTGCAGGCTCTGCACAGGTGCCCGGAGGCGTAGGGCAGGGCGGGGAAGGGAGGCAGAGCGGATGGGGGTGAGAGAGAGAGAAAGCGGGGAGGGTGAGGGAGGGACGGAGAGGAACGTGACAGCAGAAAAGGCCAAAAGGCCTCAGAGTAGGGAGAGAAGTCAGCGAAGACTCTCCAGGTCCTACCCCTTTCCTGCCCCACCTTCCCCTCAAATTTGGCTTCTGGAAAGTTCCAGCGGTTTTGTGATTTGTGGGATCATCGATTTCAGTGCTGTTTTCTCAACACACTCCCCTCCCTCACCCCGCTAATGCACACACTGCTGGGCCCTGCCCTTAGGGACAGAGGCCTGGAGCCCCCACCCGCCCTGGAGGAGGGAGTGTCTGGAAGGTGACCGCGGCCCCGGGGCCTGAGAGGGCGGGAGGGGCTCCGCAGAGGAGGGCAGCAGGGCGGGGCCGGGATTCCAAGTGGGATGACAGGCCGCCAGGTCTGAGGACCCGCCTCCTTTCCTTCCTCATCTGAATAATCCCGTTTCCGGGATTGAGCCCACCAGGGTCCCCGTCCCCTCACGTGCGCCACGTGGGTGTGTGTGCATCCACTAAGAGCCCTACCGAGCCAGGATGCCGTCCCCACGCAGGGCAGGGGCACACACGTCTACCCGGGGGCCCCCGCGAAGACCTGGATGATGGGCCCCAGGGTGGGTGTCTCAAGGCTGGCTGCCAAGGTGAGAAGCCCCGCGGCAGGGGGTCCTCCCAGCCCCGGAGCAGACTGCCTGCCTGGCTGGAACCTCCCTGGCGGGAACTCGGACTTCAAACCAGTGAAAGAACTGGGGCTGGGCCCTCGGAAGAAAGCAATGGGGAGACCTGGTTTAAGGGGGTCGGGACAGGAGAACTGAGGAACGGGAAGAGGGCCCTGAGCTCACGCACCTGTTTGTTCAGCCCCCTCATGCACTCGCAGAACCCCCCCAGCCCCCGCTGCCCTGGGGCCCCAACCGGACTCTACAGCAATCTTTCAGCCTCAATGCTCCCCTCTGTCCCCTTGGTGACACACACAGGGCCCAGTGAATAGAGGACGTTTAATATTTCTGTGCTGGTCAAACGGAACACAGGTAGGGAGTACATGGGGAGGGGGCGGAGGGCCCCCTGCCTCTCAGGAGGGCGGCTTGTGAGGGGGGTATGTGGGGTTCTTGGGAAATGTCCAAGGAGTCTTCTCAGCAAAGGGGCCAGGTGGGGTGTTACGAGCATCCGACACACCCAGTCCTTGGCCTTGAGTTGGGGTCCCCCATAGGGGGTCTGTGGAGAGTCTTTTTCCAGCTCTTTGGCTGGAATCCCCACTCCCAGCACATTGGGGGACTTGGTCCTAGAGAGGGGTCTGGAGGCCCCCCAGGAAGCAGCCCAGGGTTGGGGTCAAGGGCTTTGTGAGAGAGCCACCTCCTCCCCTCAGCCCCGTCCCCTTGCCCAGGCTGGCCGGGAGCAGAGGGGAGGGAAGCAGGGCCCCCACCTCCACTGAGCCCCAGGGTCCTCGGGGTGGGGCAGAGGAGGGGTGCAGGGAGAGGGTTTTGGCCACCAACAGACACTGTAAACTTTGGTTTAAAACAATAACTTAAGTGGAGGGAGGGCTTCCAGCCTGGGGCTGGGTGGAGGGCTGGGAGAGCAATGCTGGGGAGGCGACAAAGGAAAAAGCCAACAAAAAGTTTTGGTTTTTGCTTCCGGCATAAGAAAGGTCTTTGGTCATCCGTTTAACTGGGGGACAGGGAAGAGGTGCTGAGGGCAGGTGAGAGGAGACTGCGGCGGGGACCTGCAGGCAGGGGTGGCCTGAAGCTGGGCTCCCGCCTCGCCTGTCCCCGTGCTTCCTGGCAGTCCAGCGCCACCTCCGGCCTCAGGGGCAGCTCGGCTCCCCCTGCAGAAGCCCACCTGGCACAGACCTCTGTGGACAAGGTGGGCGCTGGGCCTCTTCCTGTGCTCCCTGGCGTGGGGGTGGCTGGAGGAGCACCCAGCTAATGGGGGGGTGGGGGCGGGGGCCCAGTTCATCCTGGGTCCCATCTCCGGTTGGGGGCAGGGGCTGGAGCCAGGTGGCCTGAAACTTCGGTTCCCCTCCCAGGCCGGGGTAGGAGTCGGGTGGGGAGTTATTTCTTCACAGTACGGAAAAGGCGGCGGAAGGGAGCACGAATTAGGGAAGTGGGGGCCTCTGGCCAGAAAACACTGCCAGAGCCAGGTGCAAGGGGCCCCGGGTTTGAGAGGGGTGACTTAGCCCCGCCTGCGGGTCTCCGGGTCTCCGTGGCGCTGAGGGGCCCTGTAGGGGGAGCTGGTGGGGGAGGAGGGCCCTGATGCTGCTGGTGGTTGGGGGAGGCGGTATTCAGATGTGGGGGAGGGTCTGAGGAGGGCTCTGGGCCCTCCGTGTCCTTTACGTGTCCTTTACTGGTCCCAGACCAGGGGTTTTGTGTCCCCTAGGGGTGAGGACCGTCCCTGCCCCCAAGTGTTTGTCAGTCGGGTCACCTGGGGACTTGCTGGCCCAGGCCTCCCCCATCTGAGTCCCGGAAGTGCCTTGAGGCTTGGGAGGGGCTGTGGAGTGGGACAGGTGGGCCCGGGTCCAGGAGGGAGGGGTCACACCCCTGCCCTGCCCGCCAGACAAGCCCTTAGGACAGTTCTTCTCCGGGCAGCTCCTCTTCCAGGTCCCTGTCTTCCGGAGGCCCCACGGCGCTGGGGTTGGGGGGGCCCAGGGAGGGCGCGGGCTGCCTGTCTTCCTCCGCCTCAGCCGGCTCCTCTTTCACCTGCACCTGGTGGCTGGGTCAAAGGGGTGGCGTGGGCACCGGGGGCCCACCCTGGTCCCCTCTGCCCCACCCCCAAAACTCACCCAGAACTCGGGGGGCACAGTGGGATGTCCGCAGCCCCTCCCCGGTCTCACATGCCCCAGGTCTGATCTCCCCCAGGGCTCTCTCCGAAGAAAGAGGACGTTGGGGCAGAGACTGCCTTGGGTGGGGGAAGAGAAAAGGGAGCAGAGGGGAGGAGGAAAGATAAAAAGAAGGAGAGAAAAGGAGACAGTGGGAAGAGGAGGGGAGAAGAGAGCGGAAAGGGAGAAGGAGGAGGGGTGTCCCTGCCGCGCAGTGGGGGTGCAGGAGGGGGAGGGGCAGGGTCCGTGCTCCGTGCTCACCTGTACTGGGGTGGGGAGAGGCGAGGCGGGCTGCTGCTGCCGTTGCTGGGCAGCGGCTCCACGGGGGCGCCCACGTCGTCATGGCTGAGGGGCAGGAGGCTGCTGGCAGAGCCGGGGTTCAGCACGCCAGGGCTGTTGAGGAGGGGGAAGCTGCTCTCGGCCAGGGCGGCCTGGAGGGGCGCAGGGGTGGCCCCAGTCAAGTGCTGTCCTTCCCGAGCCCTAGAGAGCCTCCTGTGTGTCCGTCTCGCAGCCCCCCAAGCCCAGACCCAGCCTTCTGAACACAGCGCACCTCCAGAGGCAGGAACTCTGACCCTGACCTCCTACCTCCCAGCTTTCCTCGCACCTGGGCCTGGCTTATCCCCTCTTCCAAGGACAGAGAACCCCCAGATTGACAAGCCAGGAAAGGGGATGCTATTGGGTAGCCAACCTCCCTCCCTCAGCCTGGCCCTTGCCCCAACCCAGCCTGGAAACCAGAGATGGAGGATGGACTGCAGGATGGTTTTGGAAACCCAGAGTGGTCTTCACCCCCTCTCCATCCTTCCCTCCTCTCATGGCCCTCTGCAGGGGAGAGTAGGGAGGGTCTCTTCTATGAGGCGGGCCCTGTTGGCAGGAAAGCAAGGTGGGCTGGGACCCAGTCACCTGGTAGCTGGCATTAAGTGCTCCGTAGCTGAGGCCCGAGATCATGTTCTTGACCAGGGTGGGGCTCCTGGGGGAGAGAAGGAGTCTTCTGCTCACTCGTTCCCTCAGCCCCTTGCATCTCTCGACCTAACTAGGCCTGTGCTGGGCTGGGGACTGTCCCATCATCGTCCTGGGAGGCCAGAGCAGGATGGATCGGCCACCATCTGCCGAGTTGTGTGTGTGCTTGATCTTACCCTATCCTCACATTGGCCTGGCCCCTTCCCAGGAGACGGTGCTGAGCCTCACGGGGACCCTGGGACCCCCTCCAACATCTTGGCTTGGCAAGGGGGAGCCAGGATCCCACCGACTGGCAGTCGGCCCACCAGGCCGCCCCCAGCATTTCCTCCCTCTCGTCTAGATTTCCCAGCGTTCGGCAGGGTCTGAGCCATGGATGGCCTCAACGGTTCCACTACTGCAAAATCCACGCTTGCCTGCCATCCTGAATTCGAGGACACGTGACACGCCACGTGCGCAGCCCGTGCCGTGCTCACACAAGATGCTTTCCCGCACTGGAGGTGTGCGGGAGCCGGGCAGGAGAGGCAACGGCTCAAGGGCTCAAGGCCGTGCCTCTTCCACAGGGAGGGCCCCTCGCAGGGCCTCTCGCAGGGGCTGAGCAAGGCCGGGGAGGAGCAGAGGTGCAATTTGAACTCAGGTCTTTTGATTTCAAGTCAGTAATGAGACGTGACAACACCTCCTATGGGGACTGGCCCCTGAGGTGACTCCATAGGGATGGCTTCCCTTCCATTTTCCAGGCCCCCACCCTGCCCCAGCCTCCCGCCACTGCCTGGGTGTGAAAGCTCTTGGCTGGGGAGAAGGAATATTTGAGGGCAACAGGCACCGCAGAGATATCTAACTGGCTTCAGACTTCTCTCTCCTTACCTAGGGCCTCTGGCCGAGAGGCACAGACCAGCGAGCACCTGGGTTAGGGTGTCTGGGGAGGGGAAGGCCATGGTGCTACATGGAAGCCAAAAGGGAGCTTTTGACCCTGCCTGGGTCCTTCAGTTTCCATTTAAAATGCCGTGTGGCCCAGTGGAGCGCAAAGGACCTGGGGGCGAGGGGAGACACCTGGTCCTCGACCCAGCTCTGCCACTAATCTGCTACGTGGCTTCCCGCCAGCCCCTTGACCTCTCTGGGCCTCCTCTCTGTAAAACGGAGAGGTGGGGCCCAGGGGCGTCAGAGGTCGGCTCATCCTGGTGAGCTGGGGAAAGCGGGGGCCCTGGGGTGGCAGCCCCTTTGCAGCCTGCTGGCCGGCATCTGTGTCCCAGCTCTGGCCATGGCTGCTGTGGCCTGTCTCTCTGGCACCAGGTCCCCCTTGCCCCTTCCTTCAGTCCCAGTAAGGACAGAACAAGACATAAGCGTCGGCCTTCTGATCATCTGCCACTTCCAGTTTCCAGCCCCCGTCCCCAAGCACTAGGCTCTTCCACTTCCTTTCTCCCCACACCCCCGCCCTCCCCCAACTGGGAAGGCTTTGGCGCACACGGGTACCCTGGTGCACCCGGCAGGGCTGCACCCACGCACCCCGTCATCTTTGGCGGTCTCCGCTTCTGATACTCCCGCTCGTCCACGGTCCACACAGCACCCTTGACGTTCTCCACGCGGACGAAGCACTTGTGCAGGCTGAGGTTGTGTCGCACGGCGTTCTGCGGGTGCAGGGAGGAGGGGATCAGAGGCGCTCACTCACCCCTAGGGCGAGCACACACAGGAGAGTCCTCATCCGGCCCCATCTCCCATGCAGTAGCAGCCTGAGCAGAGGGTGGGGCTGGGCTGGGGGGAGACCCTGCCAGAGGGAAGGAAGCCAGGACCTTCAGCCTCTTCCCCACCAATGACTGACCCATTTTATTATCTGCCCCCTCTCCCTGCCACATTTTGGAAAGTTCTACCAACTCAACGATGTCTAGTTAGTAATAACCTGATTCACCATCTTCACCAATCAAAGACACACACGGCTGTTCCTCAGGGCTTCTGATCAGTATTAGATCATATTTGAGCCCTGGCACCTCAGTGAGCCGGGGACACCTCATCTCAGGTGTGTGCGCAATTTCCACTAAGCTTTTAAGAGTTTGGGAAATAACTTACGAGCCCTCACTGCTACCCTCACCGGCCCCTGGGAATCCGGGAGCTGTGGCTTTGAGCTTTAGCTTAGAACAGACAGCTTATTTATTGAGAGCACGAGGTATACAGTAGAGGCCTAATATATACTTGTTGAAATAAACTGGGAGAAAGGAGGTTGTGGGTTTACAGCTGAAAGGAGAAAAAGAGGATAAGTCACCTTGTCACTCCCACCTCCTCCTGGCAGGATAACTTCAAGAATTGGGGTCATCTGGTTTATAGGACACTTGGGTGGGGGTGGAGCTTGGCCCACTTCCACCCCCCCATGGGAGCCTTCCCTTGCCCCCTCCATGTCCCTCAGCCCTGCCCCCGCACCCACCTCTCCGAGCTTCACTGTCCCCCCACCGTCCCTGCTACCTGTCCTCCCTCAGCCTCTCCCGCCTCATCCCATCCTTGTCTCCTCTTTACATTTCTAAACGGGGAAGAAAGCGGGCAGGGCGGGCAGCCTGTGCCCCTGGAGATCCCCTCTCCCTCTCTCCCTTCCAACTCTTGCCACTTGCAACTGGCCCGATTTCATTACCAATTTTAATTTGCCTCTAATTAAATCCTGTGTATTTTTCCGACTCGCTTGCTAATCCACGAGGGAGGCGGGCGGCTGGAGTGGAATCTCTTGGAGCGATAATTACAAAGGGCCTAATCACGCCGGGGCTCCTGCCTCGGAATAAATTTGCCCGCATTACGGGGCTCCGATCCTCCGCTTTGCAAATGAGAATGACCCCAATTTCCGAGGATGGCCTCACCGGGGCTTTTTTCCCTCATTTCGAAGCCTGATTCGTGATGAGAGACTAATTCGTTACGCTGAAACATTAACGGCAATTTAAGGGGTCTGGTGGGGGCCGCGTAAACAAAAGGACGGGCCCACAACATGGGCCTTGGGAGGGGATGGACACAGGGGGAGGGCCAGACAGGACCATCAGCCTGGCAGATGGCAGCTCTGTCCCTGGATGAACGGCAGCTGGCCTGGCCCACACCCGCTCCCAACCCTTCTGCCCTGGTCTGGGTAGGCAGCATCACAGGGTGGGGGCCAGAAAGTGTGAAGAAAGAGGGAAAGAAGGAAGCCAAAATAATTTAAGAGAGGAAGAGCGACCTAAGGAGCAGCTGAATGGGAGGAAAGTAGAGGTAGAGGGAAACAGAGTTGAATGTAGATGGGACCTATTTCCCAAGTAATATGAATGAAGCGTGGCTGAAAAAAACCTGAAGGTCAGAGTGGACCTCAAGCTGAGATGGATTCTGCTGTGCAGTGAGGACACATGCAGCGCCCCCAGGCGGTGGAGTCTACAGCAGAGCATTGCTAACTGGGAAGGTCACCCTCTTGGCCATTCACTGTCTCCAGCTCAGCCATCTTCTTACTGGGACCTGGACTAGGTGAGGGGAGATGGAGGTAAAGAACTAGGAGAGAGAGACACCCTACAGAGATGACCAAGGCTGGACAACCAGTCAAAGGTGCCAGGGTTGGAATATTGAGGGAGGTGGCTTCGTGATGGTCATTGAGTGGTTTAAGGAAGTCACCTAAACCAGCTCCTCCTAATCTCAAGAGAAGAGAGAAGTAGAAAACTGCAGTGGGCCAGGGCGGGTAAGCACGAAGAAGAAAGGAGGGTAGGTGGGTGAGTGGTACTCTGCCCCCAAGGAGGAGGTTGTCTTATGGAAATGAGGCTCTACATTGCCACCCCTAAAGGCAAAGGATTCAAATGCATTGTTGAAGTAAACGTTAGATAATAATCATAATGATCCCTCAACCATTTATAAAACCTGGTGTCTGAACTGGTCTAGAGGTTGAAGAGTGGACCAGACGGCCCCAAGAAGGCCCTGCTGGCTCAGAAAGAGGTCAGGACTCTGGTTGGCAGGAAATGACATCACTCACAGCCAATCACAGCAGCTGTCCCAGCCCAACAGCCTCTCCCAAGCTTTGGGAACGGGGTATGGGGATGTGGAAGGTCACAAGTCACGAAGCAGTCCCTCCTGCTGTTCTCAGTACATTCCTGGGCAGAGAAGGCCGGGCTCGGTGCAGACCCCACCCAGCCCTGTGCGCTGGTGGGGAAGAGGACCTCAGTAACACTTGTTGAAACCTGGTGGCATTGGGGGAAGGAGCCTGTTTAACTGTAGTTCCTGCACTGGTCAGCAGGGGGACTCAAGAGCCAGGGATGCAATTAAGGTTCTGAGCTAGGGACTCCTCCCCTGGTGTCTAGCCTTCCCCACAGGGCGCCGAAGTCTCTCCTCCTTCCCCCATCCCTCTCCCAATTTAGATACTGCTTTCCCACCCAGCCATGTGCACGTGAGCGCGCGCGTGCACACATGCACACACCCATCTTGGCTAGAAAAATAAATGGCTTAGGGCTCTAGCCCACATCTCTGTGTCCCATTTTTCTAGGGTCCCCCTCTTGCCTGCTCCTGGTCCCCCAGGAAAATTATGGCTGAAGGTGTTGAAATGACTAATTGGATGGAGACAATTATCTTTCTGCTGCTGACGGCAGAGCTGGGGCGAGAAGCGAGAGCCCGTGTGCGTGCCCAGGTGCAAGGCCCACCCCTGTGCCGGGCTTGCACATCCTCCACTCTGGCTCCAGGACACGGACTGTCAGCCCAGGTATCGGGACCATGGGGTCTCTGTGAATTCATCCCAGCCTCCGTTCCAAGCCTGGACATAACCAGTTCCTGGAGGGCCTGCTTCATGGGGCTAGAGTCTTTGGGGCCCACAGGGGAGCACCCTGGAGAAGGATTTCTTCCCAGAGAGGCAGCAAGGCTGGAAGGAAGGGGTCATTAAGAGGTAGCTATAGAACATTCCACAGATCCTGCTGTGGTGGAGGTGGGGGTAGGCACCTAGCCCTGCTGGGCGCTGGTGGAGCCAGTTCTGCAGAGCTAGTTGTTTAGGGAACTAATTATTAGGCAGCCGTGGTCTCAACGGGGTGTGGAGATGACCAAAGAGGGCCAAGGCCCAGGGGGAGGTGGAAGGGGCAGCCTCACCTTCCAGGTGGCGGTGTTCCTGCGGAAATAGGCGAACATCCTAGTGAACCAGTTATAGATCTCATTCAGGGTCAGCTGCCTGTCGGGGGTTTCCAGGATGGCCTGCAGGCAAGGAAAAGCAAAGGGAGCCTCAGCCTGGGCCTCGAAGGCTCACAGCAGCCCTGTGCTCTCCCCCAGGTTCCCTCCCTGGCGTCTGGCCCCAGCTCGCGCGTGAGCAGGAGACCCACTGCAGAATGCACGGGTGAGAGGGTGGGTGGGTGCCTGCAGCCCAGAGAAGGGCAAGCTGCTGAGCCGGGCCGAGGCTAACGGCGGCACGCGCCTCCAAGCGCCGTGCACTGGTGCAAGGAGCGTAGATGCTGCTTGTGGAGGGAAAATGGCTTCAGGTGCCCCGCTCTGCACTGACAGTGAGGATGGAAGCAGTGTTCCTGGGACGGAGATGTCCACAGGGCGGAGGCTGTTTGGAATTTATCCTGATGTTGGCAAAGGGCACTCTAAGCCTGGGACGGTGTGTGAGAATGTGTGTGAAGGTGTGCGTGCCCGTCGGGCAGCATCAGAGAGGACACAGGCGTAAACGTCTGCTCCTGTGTGAGTGTGACTATCACGTGAACACTGAGGACACGAGGCAGAGGTGCAGGTGTGCATGTGTGTGAGTGAGAGAGGGGGTGGCTCTCATGGGAGTGCGAACATGAATGCGCACGTGAATGACGCAGCGGTGAGAAGCAGCTGTGTCCCAGAGACACGGCAATGTGAGCAGCAGGCCGACTGAGCCGAGGCCTGCGGGAGAGCCTGGACAGCAGAGAAAGAAGACACAGGTGTGGAGGGAGAGGACAAGGGGTCCCTGGCCCCAGGACCCACCTGCGGGCCGGCCCCGGGCTAGGGTTCAGCCTATGTGCCGTTCCCCACCCTGCTCCACCTTTGGTGCTCACCTGGCGGATGAGGGAGGCGTAGGTGAAGGGGGGCCTGACGTCGGCGTTCTTGTAGAACTCGTGATTCTGCGCCAGCTCTGGGGGAGACAGGCAGAGGACCAGGGGGCCAGATGGGGAGGCCCAGCCTAGGGAAACCACCCCTCTCCGAGGCGGCCCTGCTACCCCAGCCTGCCCTCACCTGAGGAGATGGGGGAGCAGAACTTGTCGCTGCTTCTCCGGCGGGCAGGGCCCCCGCTGTGTAGGGAGGCAGAGTTGAGGCCAGGGGGCCGTAGGGGGGTGACAGGGGCAGCGGCCGAGGTTGGGGGGTGCACAAGGCCATCTGGGAAGGAGTCTGCTGCAGAGACGGTCACCTAAGAGAATGAAGAGCCAGGAACCGGGTTCAGCTGTGAGCGACAGGGAGGGTGCTGAGACCAGCACCCAGGGCAGGGGTCCTGAGGGTCGGGGCTTGTGGAGAGGTGCTGGGAGGCAGGGAGGGGAGCGTCACTCACCGGCTGGCTGAAGGGCTTGGGCTCGGAGGGCCGCATGTGCAGGTGGGCCATCATGGCCTGCAGCCGCTCACTCTCCTTGGCGAGCTGTGAGGGTGCAGAGGCAGGAGGTGAGCAGGAGGCCGGCCCTGAGCGGCATTGGCTCCCCTTCCTCGCATCCCACCCTCCTCCACCGGACTCCACAGAAAGCCCTCGCTCCAACCCGACTGGCTCCACGCCGCAGCATCCCAGCTCCCTCTGGCCCCTCCACGCCCTCAAGGCCAGGGCCCAGGCCGCCAGCTCCATGAAGCCCTCCGGACCATGACTGTCAGAGCCTTCCTGTGTGTCCAGGCTCCAGACCCTCGCCGCCTCTACAATGGGGGGCCTCCTTCCTAACAGCACACGCCTGTCCTCCCTGAGGGGGGCAGAGGCTGTGGCTGAGCGACACCGACCGCCGTGCCTAGAGCAGTGGCACTCGCAGACTGAATGGCGATGCAGGAACGGATGAATGACTCACTCGCCCCATTCATAAATTCAATAGGTCTTTCATGACTCCCCCCTCCCGGCAGGGCGCTCTGCTTAGAGCCCGAAGGAAATGGGTGAGTATCGACTGGCTGACTGATGGGCTGTTACAGAGCATAGCCTGAGAGCCAGACCACCAGGGTTCTAATCCCGGCTCTGCCACTCACGAGCCGAGTGACCACAGGCAAGTTATTACTTTAGCTCTCCGTGCCTCCGTGTGCTCCATCTGTAAAATGGGGACAATAAGGGTATCCACCACAGAAGGTTGCGAGGACTCCTTGAGCTAAATAGATTTAGTACAGCACAAAGAAGTGCTTGACATGTTAGCTGTTAATATCATTTTTGTTGTTTCTATGTAGCGTGAGTCTCTTCTGGACCTCCCAGCAGAGACGCCCCAACCTTGGGTACCCCTCAGAAGCCAGCTGTCCTCACCTCACAACCATGGTAATTAGGACCTAGAAAGCATAAGATGGTGGCTTTGACCATAGGACCCTACCTTGAGACCCCCCCAGAGCCCTCCTAGAAAGTCAGTGCTGTGCGCGGGCAGGGGCTGAGCCACTGTGTCCCTCCCCAGCATCCTCCTCCGGGCCACACCTGGATCTCCAGCTGCTGCACCACCTGCATCTGCACCCGGCACTGGGCCGTGCTGCGGTCGTCCAGGGCGTGCTCTGTGTTGAGGTGTCTTCAAGGAGACGGGAGGAGAGAAATTGGCTGGGGTTTTCCCCTCTGTCACCACCCTCCCAGCCCAGCCTCTAATCCCGCCCACAGCCTGAAGAGCAGACAGACAGATACAAAGGAGAGAAAGAGGTGGAAAAAGGGGGCAAGGGAGGAAGGCTTCTCCCTTCTCATCAGCTTCCTTTGATGTCTTTGCTAAAATCCCAGCTACAGAGAGATCTAATTGCAAATGAACTAATTAAGTAAACCTCTGACGAAGCGTGAAAACAATTTGTTTGACCCTGATGCTGCAAGGGTCTGGGAGACGGTGGAGTTAATCAGTCAGTGACAGAGCCTGGCACGGCTGTGGCAGCTGGCCGCCTGCTGCCAGCCGCCTGTCTGCCTCCCGCCCGCCTGTCCGCAGGCCCTCCCGTCACTCGGTCGTCACTCTCCTGGGCTACCTCTGGAGGGGAGCTAGGGAGGGTGGTGGGTGGAGAAATGCTCATATCTGTCCTCTCCTTTTCCTCCTGTCCCCCACCTGTTCTGGAGATGGGTGGGGAGGACGGGGACCTGAGAGTACAGACAGGGTGGAGGCGGGTGACCAGGGATAAGCTGGGGACTGAGGCCCCAGGAGGGCAAGATGGGCAGCAGGCTCGGGGGAGGCCCTGAGGGGAAGGCTGCTAGGGGAGGGGCTGTGGTGACACCTACTTGATGAACTGGCCCAGGTCTTCACACAGGGTCTCGCAGCCTGGCCACTTGCACTCCCCATGTCCATACAGCGGGTGGGAGCCAGGGGTCTCCTCGTGGGAGGAGCTGGGAGGGCAGGAGGGAGGTGGTCAGAGACCCTGAAGACCGCAGCAGCCCTGGGCTCAGCTCAGCACCAGTCCCCCTGCTGGTGATGTTTCTGCCCGACACAGGGTTCCCAGGGCCTAGGCACAACTGTGTGCCCTGGGAGGGGGGTGGACCTTCGGGTCCCTGAGCTCCAGCCCCTTCCTCCCAGTCCCCACAATGGGTACCACCCCTCCAGGTCCAGGTCTGCCCTCAGGCAGGGATCTTCCGCCCCCTCCCAGCCTGGGCCCGGTACCTGTCTCTCCGAGATGTGAGCACAGTGGGCTGTCCGTTGGGCAGGGTATGGTGGGAGAGCGGGGGTGAGACCTTGGGGGGAGCGGCGAACGAGGTAGCGGTGGCAGCTGTGCCAGTGAGGTCCAGCCCCTCCTGCTTGACGCTGTCCTCGGCAGGCTGCCCGGGGGTACCTTCGCCCTTCCACAGCTGGGGCAGGTCCGTCGGGCACACGGCTGCTGCGGGAGAGACCGAGGAGGCTGGCAGGGCCCCAGGAACACACTCGGCCTTCCACCTCACCCCTGGGAGCAGGGGCTGCCAGCTCGCAGGTGCAGAGAAGGCTGAGGGCCTGGGTCTGGGAGGGGAGGGGTGGCAGATGCTCACCTTGTGGGAGGGTCTGGAGGGGCCCCGAGGCCTGGTTGGGCTGCAGGCTGACCAGCCCCTGCCTCTGCAGGTTGAGCAGGTGCTGCTGCTGCAACTGTTGCATTTGCAGGAGCTGCTGCTGGAAGGCCAGCTGCTTGTTCCCCAGTGCCTGGTGGGGGGCCCGAGGGGGCGAGCAGAGAGGGGTGCCGTCAGCCTCAGGCATGCCATCTGGCCCCCACCCTGCAGCCACCCCCTCCCAGGGCCTGTCAGCCCCTGGAGCTGTCGTTGTGGCGTCTGTAGCTGCCGCGTCTCTGCTCCCGGCCCAGCTTCCATAGGGCTGCATGCCTCCTCGCAGTAAACACACGCATGCACGCACGCACGCGCGCAAACACACACAGCCAGACCCAGACACGCAGCACTACGCCCTCCCTCCTCCCGCCTGCCTCCTCCCGCCGCTTCAGCTCCAGCTCCCGCCGCAGCTGTGTGCGCCTGTGTGCGCCTGGGGGGCTCATCACAATGATCGATGAGCCTGTCAGATTCTGGGGGCCACTCCCGCCTGGAGGGCACCCTTCCCACACGCCCAGGGTGCCCCCCTTTTGCTCTGGGGAGGGAGTTTTCTCCCCCCGCCCTCCAGCTCATCTCCTCTCTTGCTTTTTAGATAAAGAGAATCAAGGAGCCTGATGGACGCACTGCGACCCAGGCTCAGGGCACAGTCATCACCACTGCCCAGGCGCCCTGCACTCGCCAGGTCGCTCGCCCGACCCCTCCCCCACTCACGCAGGCACTGACAAGTCAGGCTGTCAGCAAGTCTTTCTGAGCCCTGGGAGCCAAGCATATCCGGGGTGTTTGGGAGGCAGGGACGTCTCTTTCTGCCTGCCCAGGGGTGGGGTAAGGGGCTGGCTCTTCAATAAGGTGACAAGAGCATAAACCCAGCCTAGACACCTGCAGGCAGGTAACACACCAATTACAAGCCAGCGGAAGGGAAGACTGAGAGTTCGAGGGAAGGCCTGGGCTGCAGGGCAGCCGTCTGGGAAGAGGCAAGTTAGGACGCAGGGCTGTGGCGTGGGCAGCAGGAGGGGGACACATGAATGGGGCCCGGGGGAGGGGCCTGGCATGGGAGCTCAGATGGGGCAGGGGCGCAGGCTGGGAGCTCTGGGAGAATCCTTGTGGGTAAGGTGGTGGAGGGGCTCGGAGAGACACTACAAGGCGGGGCAGAAGCTGGCGCTGCTGAGGTGGGGCAGGCAGTTTGCTGAAGGACTAAGAGTCTCAGGGCAGGTGTGGAGGGCTGAATGCTGGGTCACTAAGGGACAAGTGGGCAGGAAGACTGCATGGCCACGAGGTAGCTGGACGTGAGCGTGGACCATCAGACATCACATACTGATGACAACACACACGTAAGTGTCCACACGCACGTGCACAGGGACAACACAAGGCGAGGAGAGAAAGAATGCCGGGGAGATGGAGGTACCCAAGTGAGCTGCCATCCTCATCCCCCGGCACTGCTCCCCCCCATCCCCTCCCCCAGCTTTTTGCTGATTTTCCTACTGCTCCCACAAGGCAATTCCCTCCAGACCACTTCTGGACTCCCAGCCTCTGGCCAGGAGGGGCTGGGGCTGGGTGACGGGCTGTAGGGGATGCTGGCTGTCGTGGGGGCTGCGGGAGCCCTCTCACCTCTTTGGGTTGCTGCTTGCCAGCTTGCTGCTGGGTGAGGAGCTGCAGGTGGAGCTGCTCTTGCTGTTTCTTGTAGTATTCCTGCAGCTGGGGGTGGAAGGTAGGGGTGGGAGTGGATTACCACCAGCCGGGGACTGTGGACCCCCACAACCACCCCAGCCCTGTCCCATGTGGGCTCTTGGGGCCAGTTTCATTTCTCTCCCCAGTCAGCCCTGAGGGTCCCTGAGCAGGGCCGGGTGCAGAGGGAGGGGGAGGCTCATCCCACAGCTCTGAAGCCCCTGCTCTTGGTGATCTCCTGAGTAGGTCGAGGGGACAAGGTGCCAGGGTGTTCCAGTACTTTGCCCTTCCCTGGAGTTCAGCAGACAAGAGTGGGGCTGGCAGCAGGGAGGGCGTGCTGGGAGTATTGTGGGGGCAGGGCTGCTGGGAGAGGCCTGACCTCTGACCTCTCCCAGCTGTCCTGCAGGAATGCAGATCAGTCTGGCCTGAGCAGTCCCTCAGGTTTCTCCCAGCACTGGCCCTCAGTGGTGGTAAACAGCCCGGGAGAGGGGGGCTGGGCAGAGGAGGGACCAGGCTGTCTGTCCCAGGCTGTCTGTACCAGGCTGGACTCACCTGCTGGAGCATGAGGGCTTGCTGCTGCTGGAGCAGGGCCTGCAGCTGCGGCGGGGACAGAATCTGCTGCATCTGCTGCGGGGTGAGCATCTGCGGCGACATCATGGCCACTGACACAGGCACCTGCGGGATTCGGCCGTTAGCCTGCTCACTTCGGTCCCACCCCAGCGAGAGGCAGCACCCAGGGCCCCACCACGGCGTGGCAGAGATGCTCTGCCTCCCTGCTCTGTTTGCCTTGTCTCTAAAATGAAAATAGCAATAGTGCCTACCTCTTAAGGTTCCCATGAGGATAAATAAGTTAATACTTAAGACAGAGCCTGGCACATAGCAAGCGCTTATAAGGATTGGCTATTATCACAGGGTGCGCTGTCCTCGGGGCAGGATTAGACCCGAGTGACACTGATCAGTAGAACCCATGCTTTGGAGGGTTTCTCCTCCTTCCTCTTGCTCAGTCTGCTCTGAGAGCGCTACCTCCAAGGTGACCTGGCTGGGAGGGCAGTCTACAGCCATCAGAAGGATTCAAAAAGTGGCCCACCTGGCAGGAGGACCTGGACCGTGGCCCCGCTCACACACACGTCACACTCTCCAGCACACCTGTCTAGATGGCACACACACACAATGGCCCAGAGCCGAAGCCCAGGGAGTGCTGCTGGCACCGTCCTAGTCCTGGTGTGTGGGCATGTGGGTAATTTTGTCTACGGTGAGGCAGAAGGAACAACAGGCAGGGAGTTAGGAGGGTAGGCTTCTACTCCTAGCTCTGTACTGAACTTACTGTGTAACCCTGAGCAAGTCATCTGCCCTCTCTGGGCTGTCAGTTTCCTCAAACAAAAAACACAAGGATTGGGCTATAAGAGAAGACACCTTCTAGCTGGAATATTCAGGCTAGAAGTAGAGCAGCTTTCTGTCCCCTGCCCTAGGTTAGGCCTCTATAGGAGGCCCCAGGAATCCAGCCGCAAGGAAAAGGTTCAGGGGAAAACAATGACATCATTCTTTTCCCAGCCCCACCTCCCCTGAAACCCCCAGGCTTGTGCAGTGGCAGCCAGGCAGGTCTAGGCCCCTACGTTGTCTTGTTCTCCTGTTTTAGCAGGACAGTGCCCTGTTGGGGTTGTCTGCCACCCCCACCACTCTGTGAGTCTCACGTATATAGAAGTCTTGTCCAACTTCCTCTCTCTGTGTGCCCAGCACACAGTAGGTACTCACTAAGTGTTTGCTCCCTGGGCTGAAATGCCTTCCCTAGCAAATCAGAGGCCCTTCTACTGGCCCTGGGGCAGGAAGGGGGGGTATGGGGCCAGCCCAGTCGGGCAGGAGTGTGCAGGGACTTGTCCTGGGTGGTGACAGGTTAGGTTCCCAGGGGACCCTCCCCCCAGTCTCAGCCCCACCTGTGGGGTAGGGGAGGAGGAGCTGGTTCTCTTCCCAATCCCTGGCAGGGGCAGGACTCAGCCATGAACCACCCCTTAAGCCACGGATTAGGAAATCCCCAGGCAGAGGAGCCACGAGGGAGGGACAGTGAATCCAAGGATATCGAGGAACCCCCACCACCCCCAACTCTTCTCATCCATCCATAACTAGAGGCTGTGACCCACCTGGGCCTTACTCCTTTATCCCGGGCCTGGCAGGCGTAACACCTAGCTTTTCAGTAAGGCCCACACCATGTGAATGAAGGCTCCCAGGGACCTCTGATCCAGAGGGGGATGTGCCACATCAGCCCTCAGGAGTGGTTTTGTCTCTTTTTCACCCCGTTCCTACCAATGCGATCAGAGAGGTCCAGTGGCTTTAAGGGGCAGGGTTGGGATTCAAGCCAGGTGTGTGTACTGCATGGTTCCCAGGTCCCACACTGCCTGCCCCAGCCCCAGGGCAGGTGTTGAGGAGGGTCAGGGAGGGCACATGCAAATGGGACGTCTAGGGGCCAAGGGGCAGATGAGGCTGAGCCCACAGAGGCAAACTTCCCTCTCTACAGTTGTATCCCAGAAGGACTCTGCAGGAAGCCCACGTGCAGGGTTGTATGGTCCTTGCTCCCTGAGGGGGGCAACCCCCTTGCAAAGCCAGACTGTGTCTGTTGTTGGCTGATCCAGAGGCAGCTGGAGTGGCTGCTCAAATGACTTGGGTTTTGCCTTCCAAACACTTAGGATGCAAACCCTAGGCTAGGGGTGTCCGACACGGAGCAGGTACCGGGACTGTCCCTCCCATGGCGGTGGTCAACAAAGAGAGGCGTCGTGGTGGTGGTGCAGAGCCCACAGCCCTGATTTCTCAGTCGGGTGAGCCCAGTTCTTGTCCCTGATATTTACTACTCTTGGAAATCACCGAGCGTCACTTCCCTGTCTGCTGACTGGGGTCTGGGGCACTTGCCCTCCCCGCATCACATGATGGCATCACACGATGGCACAAGAGGGTGTTGCTGACAGCTCAGGACATGCCGGCACTTGGCTAGCCTTTCATGTTGGCCTTCTATGTTAACCCTGCCTCTCCGCAGCAACCCTGCGAGGCGGGACCATCGTCATTGCCATTTCACAGATGAAATGAGAAAACTGAGGCCAAGAGAGGTCAAACAGCCCGCCCTGCTCCGAAAGGACGAGAGAAGTGGTCAAAGTGATTGGTATGCTGATAAATTCTCCCTCAATGTAAAGAAAATCACTCTTTAAAACACTCTGGATCTCCCCTTTTCCCTCTTTCCTGTCCTTTCCCTCCCCCTTCTGCCCTGTTGTGCCCTGGGGCACTGCATGGTAACGGTCACTTAGGACCAAAGTGGGGGACCTGAGGCCTCAGGGCCACACATGACCTTCTGGGTCCTTGAGTGCAGCCTTTTGACTGAATCCAGACTTTACAGAACAAATCCTTTAATGAAGGGATTTGTTCTGTGAAGTTTGGATTTGTCGAGGGGTCACACTCAGGGATCTGGAGGGCCACAGGTGGCCTTGAGGCCGCAGGTTCCTGGCCGTCGTCTCAAGGTGGCCCGATGGGGTCAGGAAGGGTCGGCGAGGTGGCTGCCACATGTGGATCTCCCAAGCTGGTGGACCCCATCCACCTCCCGCCTTGGGAAGGTCGGATTCTGAGGACCGAGCTGGAGCTGCTTTGGGGTCCCCGCTGACCCCTCACCAGGCTGGGATGCAGCAGGATGGGCGCTCTGCAGCTAGTAGGCTCGGCAGGGCCGTGAGTCACCATCTGGAGAGCAGCCAGGGCAGCTCGCTGCTTCCTAGAGCCCTGCAGCGTGAACCCGGGCCAGTGCCGGCAGCTGCCCCAGCCCCTCCCTCAGGGACCCTGCTCAGGCCCCTGCGCCCTCCGCCCACCATGAATACGGTGTGCTCAGCTCAGGGAGTGACTGGAAGGAATAGGGACAGTGCCTGGTATAAAGGACGCCTATTTGGGGTCTGAGGGATGGAAGCAATTTGGTGCCAGAGTCAAGGAAACAAATTCAACTTTTTAAGTATGGGGTCTGGAGTCGCTGGGGGAGTGGTGACATCAGGCTGGAGCTTGGTTTGAGTTCCACTCCCTTGCACATGGCCAGAAGGAAGTCCTCAGACTAACTCTGGGCTGCAGGTGCAGCAAGAGAGAGAGAGACAGGGCTAGAACATGGAGAACAACTTCTGGAAATGCCAGGTAGGGGGCAGAGTCCAGGGGCCTGGCCCTAGCCACCTCCCCTCCACCCCAGCCACCTGTGCTGCCTTCTGCGATGGACTTCTTCCTGCTGGGGCCCAGGCCTGCACGTGGCCAGGCCAGCCTGCTGGGCTGGAGCTGGAGCCCTGAGATGGTTTGGGAAATTCTTCTGAAGCTGGCTGTGGAGGAGAGGGGTGGTGGCTGTGGCAGCAGGGGCGTGGGCAGGCGACGGTGCTGGAAGCAGAGCAGCAGCATTCTGTGGGGACCACTGGGAAAGGGGCTGCTATTGATGTCCCTTCCTCACCCGTTTCACTCGGGCTCCAGTCAACAAAATGCACTTTTACGCTTGGGTGGGGAGCCCGGCCCTCGAGCTCCTCTATCCCTCCAGCAGCCTTGAGCTCACAGAAAAGCTATTTCTAGGCCCTGCACCCTACTTGGGGACAGAGGTCCCACCTTTTCTTGGAGATTGTAAACTTAGGGGTGGAAGGCAAGGAAGGTATGCAGGCTGGAGGAGACAGACAGGGATCCACAGTCAGGCTCCGGGGAAAACTCAGACGTGGCCCCAAGAACCCCCATCTCTCTGAGACCCAGGGAGCCATCGCCTGGGTCTCTCTACCTGGGAACTATGGTGTCCACTCCTGTGCTAAGCGCGAGGGAGCATCCCAGTGCAATGATTGCAAGCGTGAGTCCTGGAGCTAGTTGTTTGGGTTCAAGTCTGGGCTCTGCCTGCTATTCGCGGCGTAACTTCGGGCAAGTTCCTTAACCTCTCCAGGCCTCAGTTTTTCTTCATTGCAAGATGGGGCTAACGGCAGCACCTATCCCGTAGGACGAGATGATACTTGGGAAGTGCTTGGTGCCTGCCTCGTGGCAAGCACTCTGCAATGTCAGTGGTTAGTTTGGGAAGGACTCAGTAAGCATCTGTTGAATGAATGAATCGATCTATCAGTTCGGGGAGGAAGGAGGCAAGGAGAGAGAAGGCCCGAGGACAGGATCATTTCATCTGTCTCTTTGATCCCAAACCTCTAGACCTCCCTCATTTTGGAGGGGGAGGGTCTCCTAAGGAAGAGTCCACAGCCTCTCTTCCCCCCTCCAGGATCTCGCTCTCCTACTTCTGGCACCCTGCTAGAAGGCCTTTGTGCCTGACTCAGCCCCTCTGACTACCACCAAGCTCCCTCCCTCCTGCCTTGGGTCAGCAGGCTCTTCCTGGTCTGGGGGAACATTCCTGTTGCCCAGCCTACCCCTCCTTGTTCTTAGAGGAGGGCACGAAGCTGGGCCCAGGGTGGGGAGGATTCAGAGACGTAGCCCTGGGGCCACTGCAGACACAGGGAGTGTATATGAGGGTAACTAATTCAGAGAGATCCAATCCTGACATCACACATGCAGGAGAACCTTTTACTTCATCCTAGTGCATTCCAGAACTTTCTCTTCCTCCCTTTATTGATTTTCCAGATTTTGTCCTCCCCTCCTCCCCTTTGAGGGTTGTCTCATTAGGTTCAAGATTTTTAAGAGCGCTACCGCTGAGGCCGCACATCTGTCCTGCACCTTGAACTTTTCCAAAGCACTTTCCGAACGTAAACTCATTTTATATAAAACCCAGACACTTTGTCAGAGCCCTGGAATCTCCCCCAGGACAAAACCGAGTCCTGGGTCCTTCTCTGAGCACCTGCACCCCACCCCACCCTCCTCGCCTCCCTCAGCTCCGACCCCAGACTCCAGAGCGCCTGTGGCTCAGGATCCCCGCTCAGGCTCCAGCTCACCCTTCCTCCCTTAGATAAACTTCCTTTCAAAGCCCTGCTTAATCCTCTCCCCAGTTCCAAGCCTCCCCCGCTGCTGTGGGGAGGGTGGGGAGGATGCCGGCCGTTGGCAGAGGGGGAGGGGAGCGGGCTGCCCGAGTTGTGACCCAGCCCAGACTCAGACTGCAATTCTCCCAAGTTCTTTGTGACACAAAAGGTAAACAGAAGGCCTGGGTGCCCCCCCTCTCGCCCCCCCACCCCCTCCACCCCTTCCAGATCTCCCCTCCCCCAGCCAGCCAGATGGGCTGGCAAGCTGGGGGGAAGGGAGAAGGGGAAAAAAGGGCAGATTGTGCAAAGAAAAACAAAAGAGATAGAGAGACACGAAGAGACAGGAAATGTGGAGAGACTGGAGAGAGTCGGCAGGGGAGAGATAAGGGGGAGACCAGGTGACCGACTGTGGCGACTGGGAGGGGCCAAGACCCAGACACGGAAACAGAGAGGGACGAAGTGACCCACAGGGACACAGACACAGGAGAAGTGACCGAGAGAGAGACCCTGAGGGGAAGAGGCAGGGGAGAGGAAATGGTGAAAGCTGTACAAAGAGACAGCGAGAGCCGCAGACAGACACCAGCTCGGATTGACAGACACAAAGAGAAAGAGGCTGAGCAAGGCAAAGACCTGGCCGTTCAGGTGGAGACCAGAGAGAAAGTGGAAGTCTCTTTGCCCCACCCCTGCAGTGACTGAATTTCCTTCCGGAAAGCTGCCCGCTTTTTGGCATTGGGGGCTGGCAAGAGCAGTTCTCCAAGGGATCCCTGCCCTCCCTCTGTGCCAGGCCCACCCTCTAGACCTGGCCTGAGCCCAGCCCAGCCAGCAGGGTGCCCTCCTCCTCACCTGCACGGCAGAGGCAGACTGCTTGCTGTCATTGTTCCCCGGGGAGCTCAGGCCTGAGGCCTGCTGCAACAGGAACTGCCGGGCCACCTGGAGAGCCTGCAAGACAGGGGCTGAGTCAGTGCGCTCTGCCTCTGCCGCAGCAGTGGCCTGAGAGGCTGGGTGGGATCCAGGACTCAGGGAGAGTTTGGGGTGCCAGTGGGGAGGAACTCTGGGTACACTGGAAGGTCCTGTGGGTGAAAGAGTCACAGATCCAAATGGGCTTGGGGAAAGGACAGGGATAGGAGTCAGGAGAGCTGTTGGGGTTCAGGGATCAGAGCCTTCAGGGACTCGTCCTTATTAGGACTCAGTGGGGACAGCAAATGGAAGGGCCAATGGTCAAACATGACTCTAGGATAAAGTACGGGGGGGTGGACTCGGGGCATTAATAACAGGTACTATTGTTGAGCATCTACTGCGTGTCAGGCACTTTACAGGCAATAGCTTATGTAATCCTTCTCTGTAAGGTTGTGAGGTAGGGATTATTAGCCCCCATTTTGCAGATGAGGAAACTGAGTCTCCAGGAGGTTAAGCAATTTGCTCAAGATCATACAGCTAGGAGGAATCACAGCCAAGATTTGAGCCCAGGAACCTGGCTCTGAGACCATCTGCCTCAATGGGTGGTCAGGCTGGGGGCTAAAGGAATAGCATTCGCTATGGAGATAGAGCACACGGTGTGGGGGATGAAGGTAGAGTCAAGGGGTCAGTGGCACAGGCTCTGAGCACTACGTGGCCTTCTGAGTTCAACAAGTGTGGGTGCAAGGCCCTGTGGCGCTGAGGGAATTGGGTCAAGTCCTGAAGGATGTCTGAACTATCAGCACAGATGCATGGACCACAGTGGCTTGGAGGACATGGTGGCTTGGACTGGACTCTGAGCCAGAGGGGTCACAGGAGCAGGAAGTTTATGGAGTTTGCAGGAGGAGCAGCTCTGGCGGGTCAGTGTGACAGTCAAGGAGTCAGGGGGCCCAGAAAATTCTCCATACGGCCAGCCAAGCCTTCTGTGCCCTCACTCTGGGTCAGTGGGGGGATCACAGGCCAGGGATGTAGGGGCCTGTCCTGAATCCACATAACAGGAGCACAAAACCCGTCTGTCCCCAGGCCCTTGACAGGGGGCCCTGGCATTAGGCGGACCTGGGTTTCAGTCCCAGTTGCTTGGCTTACGAGCCGTGACCTTGGGCAAGTTATTCCATCTCTGCGCTTCCGTCTCCTTATCTGAAAAACTGGGACACTACCCATCTCCGAATTACTGGGGGGATTAAAGGACCAATGCCTGGCACCTAGTTGGCATTCGGGAAGTGTTCACTCCCTTCCTTTCTCATTAATCTCTCAGCAGTTCTCCACTTCACTTCCTCCAGCCTCGCCCCCACACGGCCACGTGCCCCGCGCTCATCAGACAATGCGCCCGCTTGTGGCTTGCTAGCGCGTCTGTGCACACGCTCCTGTTTTTGCTCACGTGGGCTTCTAGCCTCCTGCTCCACCACAAGCATCTTCGAGGCAAAGCCTTTTAAGGTGGGACAGGGCTGTGACACTCATGGCTCAGCAAGCGAACGTGGAGTGACCACTGTGTGCCGAGCACACAAGCGCAGCCGCCTCGTGCCCGTGCTGAATGCCGAGCCTCCTGAGACTCCCGCCTAGTTTATCTCAGGATGGTGTCTACACAGGCACTACACACTCCTCACGGCCCCCGCCCGTGGCCCAGGCCCTAGCAGGCGGCAGGAGGGTCTTTCTCTCCAAGATTCACTTCCAAAAGTAGAAATCTGACCTTTCTAAGTCAAAAGGCTCCGAGGAGCCATGGAAAGGGGTCAGGAGGTGGGGTAGAGCGGGCAGGAGAGGCAGGGAGAGGCCAGGTGGTCATCAGGACGGAGGCCCTGCCGCTGCCACCTTGTTCTCACTGACCCCTCCAGGTCTAATGACAGATGTTCTTTGTCCTCCAAAGGTGGAGGTGGGTGGAGGGGCACAGGGTCCAAGGCCAGGGGCAAGGCTGGCGGAAGACGATGGCTCAAGAGGAGCTGGGCAGCCCAGGGGCCCAAAAGGGGCACTTGGGGCAGGGGGGCGGTAAAGCAGCCCAGATTGGGGGGGGGCAGTTGGGGAGGGATTTCCGGGGAAGCTAGGGGGAGAGCGCTGCTCAGTCTCCTGGGGTGCATGGGGGAGCGGCCAGGGGAGCTGAAGTCATTCCCCATTGACTCTCTTAGTTTGTGGTCCCCTGGAGCATGAAATTACATGATTTACAGGAAAAAATGACAGGGCCTTGCAATCTCATTCCTGTGAGACCTCCCTACCTGTGACAGGCCCTTCCTCCCCCCACAACCCCACCCCTGCCTCCAGGCTTCCCTCCTCCTCCTCCTGCCAGCTGAGGTCCCTGCTGGTAGGCCAGGTGAGAGAGAGCCAGGCAAGAGCTCAGGCCAGGCCAAGGCTGCCCCTTCCCTGACTCCCCACTCTGCCCTCCACTGCACAGTCCTCACCCGCTGCTTCACTCACCCACTCCTTCATTTACAGTTGTGACGTCCTTGCTGGATGCTGGGGACCACGCTAGGTGCTGGGATACAGAGAAGCAGAATATGGTCTCCGCCCCCCGGGGTTCACAGTGGGTTCTGTGATGACAGACTCTTACACAGAGACTGCTAAGGAGCTGGTCAGCCCAAAGCGGGGCTGGGCACCAGGGCCCAGAGAACGGCTTCCTCTGCCTGGGGAAGTCTGGGAAGGCTTTCCAGAGGAGGTGGCAGCACTAACTGGAGTCGCACCACCTCAAAGGTGAGTTCACCAAGTGGATAAGGAGGGTCACATCTATCACTCTGCTGTACCAGTTGTGTCTACACTGCCTGCTGGCACTGGGGCCTGTAGATCACGGGACTGCCCGCTACCTCTGAGATATGGGGGAAATGATGGGCCCTGACCCGCACAGATCCAACCAGACTGGAGCCTCCTTGAAAGCACAGACGTTGTCAAAGACAGCTGGGAGCCCCACCCCAGCACATAGCAGACGTGGGATACCTACTCACAAAATTCATTTGAGTCTAGGCTGAATACGGGAGGCCGGCAAAGGCTGACACTGAGTTTAACACCTAATATTTCTGCAGTGCCTTGCAGTCTTCATAGCACTTCTTCAAACATTTAATTGAACCTTCACAACACTGAGCTAGGCAGAGCAGGTATCAATACCTCCATTTTACAGACAAGGAAACGGAGGCCCAAGGTCCCACAGCTAGAAGGAGTGAAGTCCGGACACCTGACTGCCCAGCTCCCCACCACATGAGTGGCCTTCATGACCTCATGCAGAGGCCAGCGAGGCCTCTGAATCCCTTCCCCTTATCCGTGTGCTTTCAGCTCTCTGGATGGGAAGGGGAGGTGAAGATGGTTGCGGTAGAGAGAGAACACCAAGAAAGGAATCTCCAGGAGAAAGGTGGGCTCGGTTTCCCTTCCCGGGGGACCAGAGGTACCCAGACACAACCCTGGGTGGAAACGGTGTTCGGATGCCCCACCACGGAGAAACCATCATGGAAAACCTGGAGCGGGGGAAGAGGGGGCTCAGGACAGAGCGGAAAACTAGAGCCATTTGGCCTCTTACACCTCCTTCTCTTCCTCCCTCCACCCCTCAGACTGAAAACCGAATGCCCAGCTCTGTGGCTTGGGGAGAAGGTCTACCCTTCCTTTAAGGGAGGCAGTGCCAACCATTCGGCGCACCGACTCTGGCCAAAAGAGATCTGCATCCAAGCCCTGGCTCCACCGTACACGAAGTGACCTTGAGTAAGTCACTTTACCTCTTTGAGTCTCCATTTCTTCCTCCGCAGAACCGGACCAACCCCAAACTTGCTCACAGGGCTGCTGTGAAGAGCACATGGGCCAACGTGCATGAAGCACTCAGCACACTGCCTGGCAAGCAATGGGTCCTGGCTGAACATTAACTATTGCTATTGTTATTGATGTTTCGCCAGGCAGCTCCTGGTCATTTGCCCGATGCCACTGGAAGGCCTTGCTAACCAACCCTCTTCGGCCTACCGCCCCCTCCCCCTTTCTCCCCAAGCCTAAGAACTCAGTCTGTTAATGAAGCTGAACTCTCCTCCCCCATCCCCCATTCAGAAGTCATTAGCAGGATCTCTGCAATTAGGAACAAATGGCTTATAACGGATGGCATCCAGGGGGGTGGGGTGGGAAGGAGGGAATGGAGCTGTAGCTTTGAGGGCAATAGGGAGCTGCTATGAAAAGCGAGTCTTGGGGCAATGGAGTTTCTGGCCTCCAGGAGGGGACCCTACCCCCATTTCTGTTTCTGAGAATTCCAGGTTGGGGCGTGAAGGGTGGGAGAGAGATCATCCTCTCTGGGGAAGCCAGGTGCAGGGCTGTGTACCAGTCTTTTCGCCAGGCTGGAGAACTGGGGGCGGGTGTGTGTGTGTGTGCGCGTGCGCTCGTGCGGGGCGGTTGCGAATGAGAAGCAGCGGCACACGGACCACAGCCCTGGTGAGCTGCAAGTGTTGGAGGGTATCTGGTCCAGGGTTTTTCAAATTGCTGGTCATGACCCCATAGTAGGTCACACAATCAATTTAGTGGGTCAAAAAATAGGAATTTTATATGCATGTGCATTTGTATTTATACTGATCTAGTTCACTTAGAGATGAGGAAATGGAGATCCAGAGAGGGGCAGTGACTTGCCCAGAGGGGCACAGCGGCAGAAGCAGAACCTGAACCCACCAGGCCTGAAAGTGGGCTCTGCACAGGAAGCAGCAGCATGAGCTGGCCAGGCAGGGTGGAGCATGCACAAGCAAATTCTGGTTTAATTTGGGTGATGGTGAGGGGCAGCCAAAATAAACAAAATCCAAACTTCTTCTGTCTGCCTCTGCTTCGTTTTGGCAAAATTGGGATTCAGTCATAACTAAATTGCCTCGATAATTAATTTTCACTGGTGGGTGCTGGATTTAGAAGGGGGGACTAAACACTGTGTGAGGTGCTGGCCCCACCTCGCCCCACTCCAAACCTAAAAAGCATTCCCTGGAAAGCCCACCACCTTCACCTCCAGGGCAACAGGCTGATTTGCTATTAATTTACCAAGTAGTTATTAAGCCTGCAAG